TTTCGACTTCCGAATTGTACGAGAGGATTCAGTCCATTCGGCCGGGCATTCAGACTGAACGTCCGAATGAACTTTCGGAAGGGTCGATCGTGCAAATCGCTCCGGACTATATCTCGCCTTAATACGGTTTTGCGGTGGCGGCAGCGGCGGCGTCGCGTTGGCCGGGTTCGTATCGGTCAGGGCCGCGATCGCGCGGCTGAGTTTTCTAAGTCGCGGTCTAACTCACGGCACATAAAAGCATGGTCGGGCGAACGCGAAAACGGTTCTCGTCCTTTCACTTCCACAAACGAGACAGACACATCGACCTAATCGCGCTCGATAGCTGCTCGGTGCGCACAGTGGCGTAAGTAAGAAAGCGAACCTTTTGCGTGATGAGCCACGCGCAATTATCGTTCCGCGAGTATTCGAACCCAAAACGCGGCGAAGACCGTCGTAGATCGCATCCGCGATCGAAGTGGGATTGCGTCAGCAAATCGATGCGGGAAATCGCATCGAGCGTGTCTTCGAGGGAATAACTGGAATAAGCTTGAGTGCACCGCGAAGTACGTTGAATCTTTCACGAATGCAAAATTGAACCGTCATTAAAGTTAATCTACACAAGTTGACGAATGCTGAGAAACGGTATATTTGTTTTTTGCATGTAAAAATAAAATCAAAGTTTTTATTTTTGACTTCCTACATATATTGACTCGTTTACAATTTTATCACTCTTTCAACATGACTGCGGAATTTTACTGTATTACTGAAGGATATTTGTATATTGTACTACACGGAAAGAACAATTTTGCTAAATTCAGATTTGAAAATAATTTTTGTTCAATAATCAAAATAATTTTGTGCGAAAGTCAAAATGATTGCTAGAATATCAAAACGTTTTATAGTAATACTTATCAGTTTTAACATTCTAATCAATTATTTTGATGATGCAACAAAAAATTATTTTCAGATTTGTTTTTAGCAAAATTTTTAAATCTTTCAACAAAATCGTTTTATAGCAATGTTTATCAGTTTTAACATTCGAATAACAAATTATTTTGATGATTAAACAAAAAATTATTTTCAGATCTGTATTTGCAAAACTTTTAGATCTTTCAACAAAATCGTTCTTTCCGTGTAGCCTTGTACGCTAATAGTAAGAAAGCATTGTATATTTAATTATAATTCTACAGCTACAAATGCATTCTCGATTCTTTTTATTCTATCATACCAAACGTTTTATAGCAATGTTTATCAGTTTTAAAATTCCAATAACAAATTATTTTGATGATTAAACAAAAAATTATTTTCAGATCTGTATTTAGCAAAATTTTTAGACCTTTCAACAAAATCGTTCTTTCCGTGTACAGCCTTATACGCTCAGATAAAAGCATTGTATATTTATAATTATAATTCTACAGCTACATCAATTGCATTCTCGATTCTTTTTATTCTATCGTATTTGAGCATAAAGCTTATACATTTCAATTAATAAAAGCCCGTTTTCTTCGTTTCTGCAGCATGCCGTTTAGGATACTGCGTTGTTTACCGCGGTTCTCGATAGGTCACGATCGCGCAAAGAAACGATGAAGAAAGCTCGCACATTCTGCACGGATTATAGTGAATTAAGAGATCCCCGGAGGGATCACGGCTATCCTCCAGTCACGTTCCCTGGGATAGCAAAACATATACGATTTCGCAATCCTTCTCTCCTAGCGTGTAGGCTACTCTCTACGCCATTGAGCGCCGGGAGAGGCGAGCATCAGCGCGAGTACCGGGAGAGGATTTCTGGTGCAATGCACCTGTGAACTCGCGAGAGAGCATTGTGCAACAATTAGCGGTTGAGACGGCTATGCCGACCGCGCCGGCCGGCCGACGGCGAGCCACCGCACCGCGCTTCGTGCTCGCCTTCAGGAAGGAACGCGGAGCGGCGGCGGCGGCGGCGGCGGCGTCCGTCACGCGCGAGAACGCCACCGCGCTGCACAAAGCAGCAGGGAATAAACAGACCGCCGGCCCTGCTCCAAAAGTGTCCCCGCGAAGATAACTTTGATCCCTTCCCGAGAAGACGCGAGAAGTATTGCTAAAATCGTCTCCGAACTCATCGTCCACCCCGCTTTAAAACGTCCTTTCATCGTTATCGAGAAAACATTGTCGTATATCTACAAGATTTATGATCCATTTCTAGCAATGAAATTAATTCTAATCTCAGTTTAATTAACTCTTTGTCTTTTTCTAGTTATAAAAATTAGGAAAAAAAAAATAAAAAGTTAAACTGAGATTAAAGTTAATTTACATTAGTAGAAATGGATATTATAGGGTGACTTCTGCTAAAATCCAGTTAAATTTTATCGAGCAATTTGTATGTTAGTTTGTTAATGTTAGAATTATTAATTTTTGCCATTTGATATATGGAAAAAATTAGATTAGGGACACCGGGAATTATTTGGATATCAGAAATTCTGTTTCAAGCAACTCTGCGCGTTTGAATTAATCGATTAGACGATTGAATTAATTGGAGTTTGATTGAAGTTACCCTTATACGTCCATTTCTACCAATGCAGATTAAATTTGTAATTTCGATTTAATTTATACGTTTCATCCTTTTCCGATTCTAAGAATAAGAACAAAATAAAGGATAAATTAAGAGTCGAGATTAAAATTAATCTATATGTCGTTAGAAATGAACATTGTCAGAAATCGTCGTGTACTTTGCTAATTAGAGACAAAGCTATGCTAAGTCGTATCCGACGCATTTTTTTTCTAAGAATTTAGGAATCCGAAACTGTATAGTACAAAGAGCGCGTTGAAATCTAGGAAATCCGCAAGATGACGCGATAGTTATCTCGCCGCGGAGGAACGCGGGCTTTTTATACGTTTTTTTTTTTTACGATTAACTCCAAAGCGTCCAAGTGCGCGCACAAGCGGTCGTAATTCAAGAAGTCGCGTGAAACGGACTCGAGATGGGGAATTAACAAGTCTGGGGGATGATTACGCGTCCCTTTTATCACGCGTGCGCGCGCGCGCGTTTTGTATATGCCGCGGAGAGTCACGAGACCGGCGAGAGGATTCACAAATGCGACGCTGCACCGAGACTCTCGACACGTTATTACGGACGCGCGAGGTCTCTTAATTTAGACACGCGTAATTAAGCCGTGGAGCAGTTTAAACGCTCGAGGGAGAACGAAGCTGTCGCTCTGAATACAATATTACTTACGCTAAACGCCGGGAGCGCGCGAACAAAAAAAAAAAGGAACGTGCGAAAGAATTAAATTTCAGTCGCGCCCGTCGCGGAGTTTATGTAATTCATCCATGGATATACCGGGAAAGCCAAAAGTTGCCTCACTCGAACAACTTCCCGTGCCGGCAAAGAATTTTATTCAACGGCGAGTTTATTTAGCGTTATACGCCTGAAATAATTTAATTAAAATTTCTGTGTGTCGACTGAATATCAACCCGATTAAAAAATTTTCGCGAGAGAGGCACTCTACATTTCGGACGGAGAGTGTAGACGCTGCGTTTCCTATCTGACGTTCTGCGTTATACTACAGGTAATTCCAACATGTAACAGGCTCATCGAGTTAATGAGATCGAGCGCGCATTTTAAAAACTCCTCGAGATGCGTATACATACCGCGAGCCTGAAATTATAGCGTCGAAGTTTGTTGATGAAGCATAGTAATTTAATCTCCATGCATGCAACTTTAATGAACCCTTCGGATGTACCTACTACGACCGAGGTGCTTCTTTTGCTCCGAAACGGCGCGGCGGCGTATACACCTCGCGCCGACTCCGCGAGTACAACGAACACCGCGTGCAATTTTTGCGAGAGGTGTGTGTACCGCGGGCATGCAGAATTTTAAAAAGGCCTATAGCGCACCAAAGGCGCGTCATACCGAACGTATGAAAAAAAAAAAAGAAAACCCCGTTAATAATGTTTAATGAATGTAATTAGCCGATCCTCTCGTGCCTCACGTCTATACGTTGATTATTTCTCTAAATTTTCTCGAGTGAATCTCACGCCAAAAGAGTGAAAATTCACTCCAGAAAATTTAGAGAGAACGCCGAACGCTTCGCTCGGGGAGTGCGAGGTCGATTGTGGAAAAGTCGATTGCGATTATAACAGTTTCGAATTGTGCCTAATTTTCAGATCGCGCGCCACCGGAGATAGTTCGATATTGTTCATTATGCGGAGCACAGCATTGTTACAAAATAATACGATCGTGCGAGCGCGCGCGTCGCTATACGTAATCGCTTCGTAATCGCTTACGAACAACGAAAACGTAATATCTTGCACATACGGATGTGTATATACGACGATCGCATTATTAATAGCGTAATCGAGAGGCACAGATAATTCTGACGTGAGAAAGTAAGTCGAAAATGTAGGACAAAATTCTGTTGCGCTTTAATTCCAAGAGATTCGTACTTGAAGTCGGAGAATTATAAATAATGATTTTTCTCACTTGTTTGAAATAAATTCGTGCGTATACACATGTCGGAGTATAAACATCCGTTTAAATATAAAGAAAAAGATTCTATCTATAAGGAAATTTCATGATATTTTACGAGTAATAAAATTTTATTAAAAAAAAAGTGTTTTTCAGAAAACAAAGAAATTTATTGATATTTTATAAATAATCCCGTTCGGCAGCTTTAAAATTATTTGACGCTATTTCTTTTTTTATAAAATGCATCTTTTAAAATTCATATAATTTCGATGGCTGAAGCAAATAAATAATTAAAACAATTCAAGGTTAAAAATGATACTAAATAATCAAACTTTGAAATCCATTTTTCCGAAGGAACTTGTTTTACGTTTTCGACTTATTACATTTTTCTTGTTTTTTTTTTTTCATGCAGGACTCCGATTGTATCGTTAGCATAATCCCTTATACGTAACTAACAATCGAAACGTCCGACTGTGTGTACACGCAGCGGCGCGGTCCCCACGTGTGCGGGCCGCGACGCGTCGCACGAGACGTGAAAACGCGAGCGCGAAATCACTCGCTATACCCCTGCGCTTACCCGACGCGTTGTCCTGGGCCAGGCTGTAATCCGCGTGACAGGCGAGGAGGAACGCGGCACCGAACTTCACTAGTAGCGTCGACAAATTACCCATCTCTCCGAGTCGACATAATTTCCCCGTTGCGGCGGCGAAGAGATCACGGCGCGATATACTCCGCGCGAGCTCTCCTTAATCCCGTTACATTCGCGCGTTACGGCGCGCAACGACACCATCCACACCACACGACGTTCGATGGCATACTGACTTGTGGACTGCGAGGAGACGAGGAGTGCGAGCGCGGAGCCGCGCCGGAGCCACGAACGCGCGAACGCTCGCGCACTTCGGCCGGCCGCCGCGCCGCTTCGGTTCGGAGTTCGGCGAGCGGTCCGAGACACTCGCGGCGTCCTCTCGCAGCCGATATCTGTGAGTCCATGAGCATGAGCCAGGGATGATCGAGCACAGCCGAGTACCATGTGGCGCGAGCGTAGGACGAACAAATAAGTGACGAATTCGTCGCCATTTTGAATGTTTTATGTGTTCATTCATTTACCAATTAGATTAACTTTTATTTCGCTTTTATTTATTTACTATTTACGTACTATTTTTATTTTATTTTAAGAACTAGAAAAAAATAAGATTAGTTAAACTGAGATTAAAGTTCTTCTACATTGATAGAAACGAACATTAAAAAAGTATATCAAATTTAATTAAATATAATATTATATGTATTTACATTTATATTTATATTTTATATTTATATTTAATTAAATAAAATATTAAATATATTTAATTATATTTAATTCAATTCTATAACATGCCGTTATATACATGTATAGTGTTATTCCTGGCTTAATCTCTTTTTAAATTAAGCAAAAAATTAATAAATCTGTCATTAATAAAATTTAATACAGGTTTACTTCATAATTTATTCATCAGTTAAGTTAACCGTAGTTTAGTCGGGATCGCTCTAATGTCTATTTCTATCAATATATGTAGATTAATTTTAATTTTAACTTAATTTACTTATCTTTTTTAGTTCTAAGAACTAGAAAAAAAAAGTATATGAAACGGAGAATAAAATTAAAATCTACATAGAAACGAACATTGGAGCAAAACTATCGAATTTAATTGTATAAACCGGTAACAAAATTAACAGAATATAAATGAACAGTATTCATAATTTATTCATTTGTATTAAGTTAATCGAAGCTCATAATCGGAGTCGCTCTAATCTATTCTATTTCTATCAATATAAATTGATTTTGTTCAATATAAGTTGATATTCTCGAAAACTTATTTTTTATCTCATCTGGTACTAAAAGAATTAGAAAATGTTAGAGTAAATTAAGCTAATATTAAAGTTAATCTACATATACATGCATTCTGTCAATTGAACTAATCATTGATTAAATTAATCGGCGATTAACTTACATCGAACAATACCTGTTTTGTCAAAAACGGAATATATATAGAATAATTATATAATCTTTTGCTGTTCATATTCTATTCCGTGTAAAAAGAAAAATTAGATTAGGACAAACGAATTACCTATATGAAATTTTGCAGCGAGCGATTTTGTATCGGTTAAATTAATTATCGATTAATTTAATCGGAGTTTGATCGCTCTTATTAAAGAGACGAAAATTGAAAACATTTCAAAGACAATATCGCGCAATCGCGATTGTACATTATTATGCATACGTACCTGATGATGATCGTTTATTTCTGAGGAAATAATATGTGGAGAATCGAAGACTATTTCAATCAGCATGTAGAGGCGATGCCGAGATAAAAGCACTTATGCATTCTAACATCACGTCCGTAGAGTTCAAGTAACAGTTTGGACATCGCCATTTTCAGATTAGGATTATTATGCGCTTTTCAAATCAATTTAGAATCTATATGCAGTTTATTAATACGAAAATAAATTTAATACTTCAATAATTTGTACGTATAAATATTATTATTGCTATAATAAAAATAATAGCAAAATATAAATTTCTTCGTCGTTAGCCTACCAAAACATATGGCGGATTAATAAAAAATTATCTAATGTTCTCTTCTGTACCAGTGTAGATCAACTTTAATCTTGGTTTAATTTATTCTTTATCTCTTTCTAATTCTTTAGCACACTAAAAAAAGATAAAAAGTTAAATTAGTGATTAAAGTTAATCTACCTTGGTAGAAACCTATCAAGTTCGTTTCTATCTCGGTAGAAACAAGTGTGTCCGAACTCTTACTTAAAAAACCTATATATCCGATGCTCGATAAAACAATCATGATCATTTTTTTATGCTCGCTTTTGGGTAGCAATCGAGACACGCGATTCGATAATCTATCAAAGCGTGACGCAGCAATTCTCCCAAAATCTCATTCAATCCGGAGATACCTAAACCGGAACCGGAAGGCATTAACAAGAGGGCGTTAATGAATTTTTGTTAGGGCACGGTGAATTTTCTTTGAATTGTGCAAACACGCGCAAAAGCCCATACAAGAATTTGTCGCTTGTATTCCAATGATTTACAACAAAAGATTTTGCATTAATGAACAGAGAACGTTGTTTCGCGCCAATTGTCCCTATTGCCAATCTAAAAAAATCTATCGTTATTACAACGGCGGTCGGGATTCTGATTAGGAGAGCTTCATCCACGGTAGCTTCCGCAGTAACGTATACACACACACACACGTACACACACGCACGCACGCACGCACACACACATCACACATACACGCGCGCACATATCGTGTTTTATTATTTATTTTATATTTATATTACACAAAGATGTATATTTTGTTTCTCTCTTAATCGTATTATTGTATTGATCTCCAAATACAATTCGCCGATTTTTCTACCATTCCGTATTATTAAATAGAGTTTAACCAATATCTTTCTTAATAATTATTACATTAAACCAGGTCACAAAAGAAAAACGATTACATCTATCCGACTCGAGAAAGAAGAGGAATACGACAGGACAGACGAAAGCTAAAAAAAGAGAGAGAGAGAGAGATGGGAGAAAGAGACAGAGCGGAGCGGAAAAAGCCGAAGGAGAGGGGAGAAATAAGAAAGAGAAAAACTTGTAAAAAAAAAACGAATTAGACTTAAAGTATACGTGACGAAGATCAGGAATAAAGAGATACCTAATCCTCTCGTTCTCGCCCTTATAATAACGATGATGCTTCCGGTGCTTCCGCCTGCCAATTAATATAGCGACCGTCTCGCTGTCGCGTTTTATTTCTTTTTTCTTTTTCTCACACCCACGTACGACGCGACAATTCCTGTCGTTTTACTTTACAGATTCGTCTTTTCCCCCCTCCCCTTTTTTCTTTCTTTTTTTATACAAATTATTTAGGCATCGTGATATATTCAGGTTTCTCTGCGCTCTCGACCACTCTCTCGTCTCGACGCCTCACACACCTACGCGCCTCTCTCACTCGTAACGTGCAATTTACAAGCCGCAAGTACGTCCCATTTATACAAGTCGTCAGGATAATAATAATAAACGCGACAAAGACGCATGTTGTCCCCACAGCGCGTGTCTCGCGCACGGCTCTGCGTACAAAACGCGACGGACGGAGAGGTTCCTAGAGGGAATTCTTTCTACAATATCTCGGTGATGGTGCCCTTAGATCTTTATCTACCCACAAGACGAGCCTAAGTGACAATGTTCACAACGCTATATTACGGATATACTACAAAAGTTCTACTGTACACAGGCGGACGCACGTCGCAAACCTCTCCGCGTACGCAAAGGCCGTGCGTTCGACGACAAAAGAACGAGCTGAAATATATATATATATACATATATATATTTTGTCGTTTTTCTCCGGAATTTGTGTCTCCTTCCTTTCTTCCTTTCTTCTTTGTATCACAAGTAATAATTAATATTAGTTACTCTTTCTAAGATAAAATTTTGTTTCCCTTTCATACATAATTGTAGATTATAAGCGTTTCCGTTTACATTTCAATATCTCTCTTATTCATCTAAGCGGTATTTTTTGGCTGTATTCCCCGTCCATTTTATACAAAGACCACCCTTAATGCCGAGGAGTATCGAAACCGTCTCGAAAAAGTCTCACAAAAAAAAAAGAAAATTAGGCTTCATAGTACTCCTTTCTTCTGAAGTGTGAACATGTCATTCCTTTTATTACTATTTCTTCTTTTAAACATGATTTAAGCTTCTAAATAAATGTTCTCAGAGATAGTCTTCCCTTTTTTTTTACATTTGTCGCTACGTACTATGTATGTACAAAGAATTTTCTTTACGCTCAATAACTTTATATCTTCATCTCTGAATATATAATTACTATTTAAAAATGATTATACCTAATTTATCGTACTCTGTGCTATGTGAGGAGACGTGACGGCTATTTTCAATATTTATACTTAATTTTCGTGTGTATATATGTATATATATATATATATATATATATATATATAAATACACATACATATGTATATATATGTAGTCGCATATAGTCATATATATTAGATATGTATATATGTATATATATATATATATATATATATATATATACACATATGTGTGAGAAGCAATGTAAAGATGTATATATACATATTATATATTATATATATATATACATATACACACAATACATATATATTATATATGTATATATATATTTTTTTCTACGCAAATTAATATTATATGTACATCGTATCTTTCTATAATATTATTTTTATACAATTTTCTTGATCTTTGCTAGTTCTCCCTGATGTAGTAAGAGAATTGCCTGCGTTAATATTCTTACATTTGTCGTAGCGCGAAAACTTGCTCCTCTCTTACACTTATAAGATACAGTGGGAACGATGATGACAATAATGACGATAGCAAAGATGACAATAAATTTTTCATATTATTAGGAGTGTGATTTAGTTTTGAGGGTTTTTCTGATTTTATTAAATGCAGAGAGAATTCAATTATGCCTTTTTGAAATGATTCTGATCATTCTGCAACATAACAAAAATTAGCTTTTTCAAGGTACTTTGATAACACCTGTCACATTAAAAATATGAATTTCTGCGGCATACATATGGCACAGGAACCGTGCAATCATATCCCTTTCAGCTCAAAACACTTGAGATAAGTGTAAACTATTTTGAGAGAGATACATTTTGACGAGGCGCATCAAAATTTGACGGAGGTCAAAATCAAGCCTTTTCGCACTTCTTTGCAATTATGAAAATATCTTCTAGAGCATATTGGATCGACCGGAACAAGTCATAATCAGATGAAGCAATGTGAAAAATACTCAGGGTGCGGTAAGACTTTCCATTTCAGTTCTAATAGCGTTTATTTCACTGATAATGCAACATAAGATCAAAAATACTCTTTAAGAAGCTCCATTTTTAAAATGGGATAAACATGCGTCTACTGTTAGTTAATGATTAAATATCATGAAGTAACATTAAAAAACAATAGTTACGATTGGAATATCTTCGACAACAGTGACATTGGTGCCATATCGTGCAAAACCCTCATAAACTAAATCACACTCCTAACAATATAAAAAAAGAAATTAATATAAAATATACAAGTATAAAGCAGTAAAATAGTCATTACAAATTTCGCAATAATGCGCGTAAGCTATTAATTTAATCGCTAACAATAAATCGTATGCGGGACATTGAATTTGAATCACTGGTTTCACGACCGTACAGATGTGATTGAAGAGATGATGAAGTGACAGTGAATGTGACGCCGTATAAAACGTATCACTTGAATGCAATGAGATGTGTTCTTTGTTACATTGTATTAGACACAGCGGTACTAATAGTCTTACAAGTGTTCTCTCATTTTAATCATCTCGCGCACGATGCGAGTACAAAAATATTTCTCTTTAAAAGAAACGTCAACTCGTTACATCACGCAAAATCAAATAAAAATTCGCATAATAGAGCGGCTAAAAAAATATCAATATCAAAATGTAACAAAAATGTATATGACTTTTTATGTGATGATTGCGTATGCTGAACTATACGTATGAGCTAATGACTCCAAACAGCGACACGAACAAAGAGAAATTAAAAACTCATTGATTATAATTAATTATACTTTGTCAAGAAACGTATGTATGTATTATTTTCCGAAATAATACATACAAAGTTTTCTGAAACTTCAGAATGTAATTATGATGGTTTTCAATAATAGAATAATCCCTTTATTTTTGCTTACATATACACAAGTTCCTTTTTTACAACCGTCAGAGAACACTTGCCTTACATGCCCACCCACACGAAAAAGAAAAGAGAATATTCAATTTTCGCCCATAGTACTGACTTATTCGTCTTACGATATACTTATATGTGTGTCCGCTTTTTGCTGCTATAATTTTACAAATTTCGAATTCGATAGCATTAAATACAATATGCCCTATCTGCATATTCCTTGCGTACATGATGTTGTTAAGAAAAATCTGTAAATATCTTTAAATCTCCGTAAACGTGATTAAAAAAGCAAATCATTCTTATTTTTGATTATCATTGTTCCTCAATAACGATATCGTGGTTTATTCTCTATAAATTCGAAATTAAGATAATCTTGTTTTATATTTTGCTTTTATATTAAGTCGAAAAGGCCACTATTCAAGGCCACACAGGCCAAGAAAAATCAAATTGAATTCAAATGTCATAAAGGAGAGAGTATCTATTTCTTCGACTTTCGTTCGTCATTTACCCTTTCCCTTTTTTCTCATAATTCTCAAAAACACAGTTGACAGGGTTTCCGTTTAAACATCTTGTACATTGGAAGATATTTTTCACGAGCATATTGATTCCCTAAATTTGACCTCTGGAAAATTAGTTGTAATTGTTTTCACATTTATACCTTCACGGTCCAGCCTATATTTCACGTGTCAAATAACGCAAGGAGTAATCTCAAAACATCTTATGGTCGCACAAGCCCAATTCATCGTCAATTAAGAAAGTCGATCTATTGGAACAGAAAAAAAATAGAATATCAAATCAACAATATACTTATATCTCAGTATTCTAAATATTTATCTATTTATAACTTTACGCCGAGTTACTCTTTCGCGCCTGTTAATTACGTTCCGCTCGCGACGTAACTTCGTTACGTTACACAACACGTGCGCACACACAGACATGGTTTTGTCTCGCATGAGGATGTGTTTTGCTCCTTTATTAACTAGAACATACCTTACTAACTAGTAAGGCTGTCTTCAGTCATAAACGGATTTACTTAAAGTCTCTTACTTATTATTGCCCATTATTCGGTGCATCTAATTAAAGCCGGATCTCCGTGTGATATAATGTGAATACGAATCTACTTCCATTATTAGCCTATACGCTCACAAACTCACCGGAGTTTCACGTAACTCGATGAAGATTACACTTAGGTATGTACTGATTTGTGTCGAGGTGCCAGCCTTTCGTCAGCGCGCACGGATAATGCGAGACAGCTTTGCAGCCGCGTTTCACGCAACCGATATTCGCTCCTGTCAGGCCGCAGGAGTCGCATACCGATTTAGCGGCGTCC